AAATGTGATATGGGATTTTCCATAAAAATTATATATCACATGGAAAAGTGGAAGGACTTGCTTAAACATATATAGGTAGTTAGAGAAAGAAAGAGATAAAAACACTTTGTTCTGTAAAAGAACAGAGAGGGAAAATAGTTGGGATTCCATTTGGTCTGTGACTACAATAGCATAGCTGTTAGGAGATGGTGATCTGACATCAAATATAAGTTTATTCTTACATCTACTACTTAATGTATTAATGCTTTGACATAACTCATTGAACTCTATTATGCCTCCACTTTCTACACTTAAAATGAGTACAGGAATGGTATCTACTTTCCCAATAGTTGTTATGGGTGTTAAATATATGGCAAATATCTATAAAAATTTCAGGCATAAAACACGTTTCACGACACCATAATGACATAATGTCATGATAATGAAGCCCTTAACCTAAAAATGAGGGCCTAGGTGGTGTAGTGGTTAAAGCATTTTGGCTGCTAAATGAAAGATTGGCAGTTTAAACAACATAGCCATTGCACTGGAGAACGATGGGGCAGTCTGCTTGTGTAAAGATTTACAAGCTGGGAAGCCATATGGGGTAGTTCTACTCTGTCCTATAAGGTCACTTTCAGTGAGAATCAAATCTATGGTAGCAAGAATTTAAAAACCATTTTAAAGATTAAGCTTGTAAAAAGATTTTAAAGTTAAACCTCTAAATTCACTAGGACCTACATCTTTTTTTTCCCATTTTTTGTTATCTCCAACAATTGCAAAAATATATTAGTATATATATTTTTTAAGATTAATTATACATTGATTGTGTATTCAGGACTCACCTCAACCAGATGGAAAATAGGAATCATGCCACTGTTTTGTTTTGTTTTTTTTCTTTTTGAAGTTGTAGGGAAATTAGCAAATAGAGCTGTTCCTTGTCTTGCACCTGCTCTGCTGCTTGGCGGTCTTAATGGGGAGCTGTATCATCTTACTGGCGATGACTTGCAGCCACTTAATTGAAAACCCCATTCAAGGATGGTGGCATTTGTATTTTTTGTTGTTGTTATTAATGGTTTTTACAACCTTACATATTGTATAATCTTTGGACTCACTCCTCTGCAGAGTCACACAAACCTTTCTCAGTCTGCAGCTCTCATATTATGGTTGTTGTTTCAGTCTTTGTGTCCTTTACCTACACTTACTTTCTAACTGATGCAAGTGAGCACAAAGATAAGGAAATCTCTATGTTTTAAACTGTGGTGGAACCTATGCTGAACCCTCTCATCTAGGCTCTGAGAAACATGGAGGCAAAA